TGACCTAAAAAATTATGTTCATTTTGAATTGTAAAAGGATATTGAATTGTAATATACGTACGTATATACAAAAAGATTAGGATATGATTCGGAAACACTTTCTAATTATCGGAATGTACTTTCTAATTATGTCTGCTGCAAACATATTTATTCTGAATTTGAATTCTCTTCTGCAGATAATTTTTATACAACTTTCGTACCGAAAAAGATTTAAATCTCTAATGAGAACGTTACGTTGTTCATAAATACATTCCAAGTGTTTGCGAAATTTATATCTTTTTAGTTATCGCCTTATAAATATATCATTATGTATATGAACGGAAAAGATTTATAAAAATTTTTATAATAGAAATATTAAAAAAAATATTATAGACATCATTTTATTATGAGTACCTGAAGAGAGACTTCGTTTTAAGAACGTGCCTCCACCACGATAAAAATGGTTCACCTCCGGTTTGATGCTTAACATAAACTTGTAAAATAATCCTATGGCAAGAGTCTTGCGAAATTCCGGTGAGTAATTCGAAAGCGTATGATCAGGTTGTAGATCCTCAGATAACATTTGTAACAGTGACTTTAAATCTTTCTGGTCAAAGAGATTTTTTCCCATCGATAGAATCTCCGTGCCACTTGCGTGATAAAAATTCTTATTGATGCCACCAAAGATAATGTCAGGAATTTCCAACACCTTATTGACAAATATTATAAATGTAAACAAATGATACTTGAAGAATTAAAATTTGAGTGACTAGTTAATGATAACGTAATATAAACAATTAAAAAAATTCTGTTACGTTGCCGTCGGTATCGATTTTGAAGAGAAAGCCAGTGTTGACATGAGCGCGAGCATTCTGGGCTCTAGGCATGACCTTATAGAATCTGTATATATGCTGATCAGTAAGCTTTGGTAATACAACGCTATAAATGATTTTATGGTGCATGTCGAGTTTCAGAAATTGCCATAAATATAAACTTTCCTTCTGAGAAGGACTTTCCAGGATGTGTACCAGAGTACCGAGAGTCTGTAATATCAGAAACAAATCGGATGGGAACTCTCTGTGCTCGTATTTTAACATTAAATTCCCTGCTACGGTGCCAATATTTCGTACGGGAACATTTGCTATCATCTCTATATTCTCGGCCAATTGACTTAAATATTTAAATCCAGTTTCTGTTGAATATTTTAAGAATGCCTCTAGCGCCATGGTAAGAGTTACATTTCCTCCTAGTACCAAAGTCGAATCAGTTTTTGTAATGTTACTCATGTCTGGAATGTTGTTTATATCAATGTACATATTTTTCTTGCTCGAACGATAAATACCTGCAAATTAAATTTCCACATTGTTATATATCAATATCAAGACTATACGTAGTTTCAAAATAAACGAAAGGCGATGGTAGAGCATTAAACCACACGCAAGATAGTAATAGCGAATATGTCTTATAATTTAAATAATTCATTCGTTACAATTTACATGATACAACAGGTAGTAATAACGAATATGTCTTATAATTAAAACAATTTATTCGTTACTTGATACACCAAACGTTTCGGCCTTCAATATGGCCATCATCATTGGTATTACAAATCAAAAATTATTAAAATATAAGATTAAAACTAATAACTACATTTGTCATTGTCATAAATAAAACGATTGTACGTATTGTTTTGTTGTCGATTACATTGTTGCATTCGTTCCGAATTATAATATGAAGATTTAATCTTGTTCTTTGTAATAATAATACGAGATAATCAAATATCGTAAGTGTTAATCTAATTGTAATGTGATTAATTCCTATGTGATTATTCAAGTCTATTAATAGATTTCGTTATTTATGATCTTTATAGATGAACGAGTTATAGTTTCCAAACTATATCTCTTTGTTCCATGATGATTATGTATCACTGGTTTTCTTACAAATACAATCGCAAGAAAACGTAAGAAAACCATCAAATCGTAAGAAAACCAGCGATACATAATCATCATGGAACAAAGAGATATAGTTTGGAAACTATAACTCGTTCATCCATAAAGATCATAAATAACGAAATCTATTAATTGGCTTGAATAATTACATAGGAATCAATCACAATACAATTAGATTAACACTTACGTTATTTGATTATCTCGTATTATTATTACAAAAAACAAGATTGAATCTTCATATTATAATTCGGATCGAATGTAACAATGTAATCGACAACAGAACAACACGTACAATCGTTTTAATTTATGACAATGACGAATGTAGTTATTAGTTTTTCCTCACGCGTGCACGTAATGTGCCCTACACAGCAACGCTTTTGCGTGCGGTAAGTAGCCAATACCTGAAGCCATTGAATTATTTCTCTAACTCCAAGCAAAAGCGTTACATTATGAAAAATAACGCAACGTAGTGGTAGCGCTCGTACAAATATCAACACGAAGAAACGCGCTGACCGGAGCGTCCTTTCGGGGCATCTGGGGGGAGGGGGGGGGGGGAAGCATAGTTTTCTCCAATAATAAAGTAACTACGACAAAACGACAATACAGTATCTATAAATATCATTCAACTTACAATAACGTTTAAATTTAATTTTAAATTGTAATAATCTCACAATTATAATTAAAAGTAATGAGCAATACAAAATTTTGTATTGTAAAATGTTTATTTACGAAATATTTTAATTTCTTTTTCGTGGAGGGGGGGGGGCTGCGCCCTACGCACCAACCCATAAGTAGCACTCGCTTCGCTCGTGCGCTCCCGCGCCAGCGTCGCACAATAAACAACTAATACACACTTGTTACACAATGTACTATTAATCTCATATTTTGATAATTTTTGATTAGTAATACCAATGATGATGGCCATATTGAAAGCCGAAACGTTTGGTGTATGAAGATAACGAATGAATTGTTTAAATTATAAGACTCACCTCTCCTCTCCATCGCTCCCACCACTCCCCTCTTTCGCCGTATTTTACTCTCTTTCGTTATAATAAAATATTTTTAAATCATTTTTTTATATATTTGTAATATATTTGTACTTTAAAAAGTAAGTGATAATCGAAAAAATCATATAAAAATGAAAAGTTCAAGCCATGTTCAAAAAAGGATACTCAAAAATTTAAACCTTTTTATCTAATAATAACATATTACCATGAAAAGTAACTGATATATTATTAATAAAGATGCCAGTACAAAGTGAACATACATAAAGTGTATGCAACGTTCGGCAGATTTTCGAATCGCCTCCGCCTTTCGCTGTCCCCCTCACCTCATCGTGCGCGGTCCAAATGCCGCTTGATGCTGGAGCGACATTTGATCTGTGCGCAGGTGGTGAGATGAGTAAGATAGCGTAAGGCGGAGACGATTCGAAAATCAACCGAAAGTTGCATACACTTTATGTATGTTCAGTTTGTACTGGCAACTCTATTAATAATATATTAGTTACTTTTCATGTTAATATGTTATTATTATAGATAAAAAGATTTAAATTTTTGTGTTAATCTAATACAGAAAAATTACCATATGCAGTATTTCCACCATTTAATATATACGTTGCCTGTGCATTGTTTTTTAATAACTCAAATAGAGCCTCGACTGTGGTAACTTTGTAAAAGTATGCGTCCTCTAATTTTATGCTCAACATTGTGATTCCATCAGAATGCTGCTTATCGTAGTAAGTACGTACACATGGCATTTTGTGGGGATACAAACGTGGATACAAATTTTGCCGGGGATGGAAAACTCTAATCTTATGTAACTCCTGTAAAGCGTATTTTATTATATTTACATTCAGATAGGAACAATGCAATTAGTGTCATAGTGAAGTTAATGGTCCTTGTTGTAATAACAAAGTCAAATATTTCTGTGAATATATATAAAATAAAATTGAAAAAAACATAATTTATGATAAAGATTAAACTTGGAAACAAGAAGGAAAATTTTTTCACAATTACTTCAATGTCGTGAACGGCCTTCGATTCCATTGATTCACCATCGAAGGCAAATTTCTTAAAAGCCTTCAAAATTGCGCGATATCCAGTGCATCGACAAATGTTGCCACCAAATGAATTTTCAATCTGCTCCATAGACATAGCTTTTTCTAACCCGAGACTGCAATGTATAAAAAATAAATACATTAATGCAGAGTTGTTACAAACATTCAGTATTATCCTTAATTAAATATTATTTTTACCTGACCTAAGCGTAGCAATTCTCTACGACTTTATTCGTTACATTAATTTGCAACTTGTTTGTTCATAATTGGACAATAGTTACAAGGATGCATTTATTAATATATTTTTATAAATATTAATTTTTCTTAAAGATATTTTATTATATATTATATTGTTCTATGCCCGACAATTCCGAAAGAATTTTATCATAAAGGGAGAAAAGCATAAAAATATATGTATAATATAACATTCTTTTAACATTACAAATTATTTAACTATTTTAATATTTCGTACCTATACAAATTCATCACCATGCCAGGTGAGCAATATCCACATTGCGAACCATTCATTAAAGCAAGTTCAGCTTGAATCTTATGATAACCAATTCTTTTGTTACCTACACTTTCAATCGTGTAAATATCCCATCTGTGACATTATGTGATTATGGAATATTAAATAATATGAACATGTACTCGGTATTCTTTGAAATTAAAAATTGGCATAAAATATAAAATAAATATATACGAATGTAAAAAAAAAGATTTTAACGTTTCCATGATGAATTTTTTGCATCGCAGACAATAGTTTCGCATGTAACGTCATTACAGAAATCCATAACACTTTCTTAGAAATTAAGTTTGATTGCTTATATCCTCTTTAATAAGTACATACATACCCGTCACAGATCAGTACTGGTACAAGACATGAATTCACAGCTATATTTTTGTTCTTGAATTTTACATGTACGATACAGGCACCGCAATCGCCTTCATAACACATCGCTTTAGTGCCTCGAAGTTTCGCATATTCGCGGATAAAGACAAGTAGAGACGTGTTAGCGGGTATACTGTTATTAAATACTGCAAGCGGTTTTACAATTTTATAATAGCGGCTCGTAAATATTATTCTTAACACACATATTATTTTTTATTTCTAAAGCTTACAATTACAGTTAAAGTTTCATAATTAAGTTTTATAATTTTCCTGTATGTTATTTATATGATTAACTCGATCTTGTATTAAATGTTTCCTTATCATTAACACAAATGATAAATTCTGAGATTAAATTTGTTATCATATTTCAAATTGATTTCTTTAACTTTCTTCTATGTTACTTTAACTTTAAATGATACAATAAAAAATTTTTTATTTCCTTAATTACACATTGAGTACAAGCAATACGTACTTGAATATGGTGCTGCATTAATTAGAAAGTTTACACTATTGTCGCCAGATCTAAATACGATAGATTAGGAATCATGTTATTTATAACGTTATATAAGTTATTCAGGGAATGGAAGTAACTCGTTACTTGTAACGAAGTTACAGTTACCAGTTACTTTTTTGGTAACATTACTGGTAACTGCGTTACTTTCTTTTTTTGGTAACTGTAACGGTAACGAGTTACATTTTTTGGGTAACGGTAACGAAATTTACAGTTACTTTTGTCGTTACTTTGCACACGATTGAACACGGTTCGATTGGATACATGCTATTTACAGCGCTTATCAATAAGACTTGAAAGCCCTTAGACATTCGGCCATTATGATTCAGTAATTATTTTACACTTCTATTTTCTATGTAATACATAGGACATACAAATATTTCAGTTTGCTGCATATTTTACAGGTTTTAGAATTACAAAATTGTGTTTAAAAAAAATTAAAAAATAAATTAAATAATAGTAAAATGAGAGAAAGGCTACGAACCCAAAAGCGAAACAGTTTAAAATACGATGATAATAAGTGTCGAAACGTCGCTTGTTTTTATCTTGTTTTATTCATGTATTGTTCTAATATATATGGTATTTATACATTTAATTACATTGTCATCGTCGTTCTTATCGGAAATAAACTGTTTCATTTTTGGCTCGTAACCCTTCTCATTTTACTTTTATTTAATTTATTATTTGAGCCATTCTACATTGTTTTTTTTTTTTTTAAATAAAACTATATATTTGTCAGTATTACATATAAAAAAAAATGCAAAAGTACATTTTTTAATTAATTTTGAAAAAGTAACGGAAAAGTAACGAAAAGTTATTTTTCAAGTAACGGTAACTGTATAACGAGTTACTTTTAAAAAGCGATAACTGTAACTGTAACTAGTTACTTTTAAAAAGTAACTTTCCATTTCCTGAAGTTATTATAAGTATAATACATGATAAACAAAATGTAAAATACAAAAGTCAGAAACGTAGAAACGTTTGTATTTAACTTTTGTATTTTACATTTTGTTTATATTAAAGAACATCTCACATCCTAACTTAGACTCGTAGCCTATTCTATTTCTATTGTTTTTAATTATTGAGTCTCATTATTATTTATAATTTTAATAAAATATTTTGTGTTGAAATAAGTGATTTTAGAACTCTAAAATATTATTAATGAAATTTTATGTTCACTCTTTATCGCATCTACATTTTAATAGTTTTCACATGTTACAGATTTTTTTCAAGGACTTACATTTTTGCCATTTCCATTTCTATTCGTTGATCGTATCAAATTATGACTAACCTTCGTTTCAAGGTACTTATAAAAACACTGTCTGCAGGACAGTATAGAAATAGGGTCTAAAATTCGGAAAATTGTGATTGTTAGATACTGTAATTTTTTCACTAACAATAAGTACTTATCACACGGCAATGCAAGACACAAAAGTGAATTGTTGAGAAGAATTGTTTGTAATATTTTTAAAAGAACTATACAAACTTTTACTATTAATGTACCCACATTTATAAAAATATGAGCGTAATAAGTGTTACATATATTATAATAAATATTGTAATATAAATTTTGCATATTGTTAAAGAAAAATTTCAATGAAGAGTTGTTTTGCATAAAATCGATTGGTAAACAAGGAAGAATATTTTCAACTTATATTCTTTGGATATATTCTATATATATATATTTTTTATACCAAATGTATCATAATGTCCTGAATGAGATTATAATATTAAAAACGAATTTAAATCATAAATTTAATATAAAAATTTCAAGTAGACATTTATTTTAACTAACCTTGTTTTTTTGTAACAGACGCTTTCATACGTATGGTATTTCAATATTTCTCGTTACAATTTCATCGGACAGGTAAAAGCATCTTCAAGTTTACACGTTTTCTTAGTAACTATCAGTAAATACTTCCTCTGGACATACCAAATACATACGCTAGTTTGAACACCAGTTTTTGCAATAACGTACGATATCGTCATATGACGTTCCCATAATTATAAACAGTGTCAAATAGGACAGATGGATTTGTTGTGTCTTTAATTTATTTCGTATATAAACTCTCGGAGAGACACGAGCATTAGGAGTCAAGTGCGCTCTCTCTCTCTCTCTCTCTCTCTCTCTCTCTCTCTCTCTCTCTCTCTAATATACATACATCAAACAAAACTTCTTTGTTATAATAATTATGTTTTTATAACTTTATTATAATAATTATGCTTTTTATAATAGTTATGCCGTAGCATAATTATTATAATAAAGAAGTTTTGTTTGATATATGACAGCATTTGCGTAAAGTTATCTACGTTTGACTCCTAGTACCTCCTATTTTTAAATTATTAATTTTTGTCGGTAAAAATCCATTTAAGGCCATTCATTTGACTTTATTTGGAGTATTTCAGCTAAATTTCATGAAAATCGGGCTTTGGCCATTTTCGGAAGTTTATCCCCGTATCGATATTATCTTTTTTGTATTTATTCTTTTACATAATATTTGTGTAATCTTCTAACATGTTCATCTTGTGTTAAATTAATCCAAAAAATTTGAGTGGATTGTTTGAGACATGCGGTTTATGTTAAATTTGATACATTTTTTCTGTCACATGTTTTCTAACTTATTCCTAAATTCTAAGCAGAATCATAAGGTTTATAATACTAATATTCTCGTAAAACTTATAATAATTTTTAAGTACAAACATTACTCTTCTCTCGAGAATAAAATTATTTAAAGCACTTATTAATCATGAACCAGAAAGAGCTCGACCAATGTAAGGATTGCTTCTTGCTTATAGTGTACTTTATCATGTTATTATATTATTTTATTACATTAAATATCGATATTAAGTAATAAAATATGACTGTTAATTAATTTTACGTACAAGAAGCTTGGCAGCACTTAATTAATTGATACAACGTTTCCAAACGTGTTTCACAATTTTAATGTTAAATATTTATAATCTTTAGAAGTACAAATACCATAATTAATTTAAATAGAAAAAATATCATTGAACATGTTATTAGTTACTACCTTAAAGCGATATGAAGCACGTAACATAATTTCATTATAATATACAAATAAGATGTATAATAATTCAAAATTGTTTAAGGATTGAAACTCATGACGCTCTCTGTTACAACATTGTCTATCAAGAACTCCAAACTTATATGTATACAACGACATGAGTTTTTTAAATTTTATGATCAACTTATCTTATCTTTTAATGAAATGTGAGTTTCCTGATGATTTTCGAGAAATTAACTTAGCACTCAATGTCTAACTAGCTCGAATACGTTTTCACATGTTAGCATATTAGAATTAAAGGAATTTAATGAAGATAGTGTAGATAAATGAGAAAACTTACATTAGTGATTTTAGAGACATTTATTTAAACGAATCATTATAATTCAATTGTTACTATAAAAGTTCTTGTATATTAACAAAACATGAATACATCAATTAAATTTAATTGAGGAAATTTTTTAATTATTCTACTTAAAAGGTTAGCCAAACACAAAATTTATTTCAAACACCGGCTTCGTTGTGAACAATTCCTAAATTTCTTCACTCGTAAACCATCATGTTTACTTTAGTTAAAGTATTTAGAAGTATACGTTCGGTAGTACACGGTCCATCTATAAACATAACGAAATATATTTTAAAGTATCTTAAATATTATTTTACTAATATTTTGGTATTTTATAAGAAACTACATATCTTATATACAGGTTAAATACATAAATTTTCGAATTTAATAATGTAAAACATTTTCAGTTTTTAACAACAAAATTTAAATAATTGTGTCCAACTATAAGTCGTGAATACTGTGAACTGTGATTAATATGAAGAATGTTATTGATATAATAATTCTGAAAAATGATTAAAAGAAAACGAGACTTTAAAAAACAACCCTTTAATTGTGGCTTTATTAATTTAGTTTCAAAGAGAATCATGGAGCAAAAAAGTTGATTTAAACGAGGATATTAACCTGAAAGTAAGTTTCCCTTCTTACAGAAAATAGAAAAACAATTATTAAAATTAGAAAAAAATCTTAATCTATTACAAGTTGGTTACTTACATTGTGTAAAAAAATTGAAATTTATTCAATGTATTTGTACTGCAAAAAAAATCTAATCTTGTGAGTCACGGTGTGTCCACTCTTCGCGAACCATTTACGATTAAATAAAAAATGAGTTTTTTTTTTCATTTAAAGAGCAACTCTGAAATACGTTCAGAACGTCACCTTCTGTGTCTCCGTATATCATTTTATTCATGTCGTTTACAAACTTGAGCAAGAATAAGTTGATACGTTCAATCAATCGGGTAACGCATCCGAACACGACCCTGAGTGATTTTTCGAGCTTTACAAAAACTCTCTGTATTCTCCGAATCTTGCTTCAAGCAACTATCATTTTTTTCTCTATTTGAAACTCTATAAATCTGGCAAATTAATATTAACCAGGAAGTAAAAACGGCGGTTTGCTAAAATTGGTACCCCTTGGTGCAAACAGGTGTAGAAAAACATATTCAGGATGCAATATCATCATGATAAATGAAAAAAATTGCGTTTATACAAAAAAATAATCATAGTGCAATAAGTTGAAATTAAATTTTTTTAGATATTTAATTACTGTTTTTTTTGTTTTTCCTAGATTGGGGAAACTTTGTTTTGGATTGTATCTCGTAAAAATATTTAAAAAATGTTTTCTTTTTAATACGAGCACCGAATTAAAGTGCAGAGACAATGAAATGATTAGTTGCCAAAAACGTAGAAATTAATCCGAATCACGAAGTTAGGCGATTAATGTTGAATTGTTAGAGGATACAAATGTATTTCTATTTAAAACTTACCTAATTGATACCATTTGTAATTTCCTGCATCTATTCGAGCAGATTCCAATGCTTTGCGGATCGCTATTGGAATTACGTAACTCATACAAAGCGGTGCTTCATTGATCGCTGCAAACATATATATTCGGTATTAATTCAATACATCATTGGTTAAATATTCCTGATTCTAATATTCTAAATAAAATTTTAAAATAAAAACTTTCTTTATATTTTAATTAAAATTTGTTTGTTATATTTTTTAAACAAATTAAATAATGTATTGAAACGCATACTTGTAAATCGATTAAATTTTTGTTTATATGAAATTTTTTCTAAAAAAATTTTTACGTACTTTTAATCATAAATACAAAAAATGTAGGAAATATCCGAGATTTAAATTTACATCATACAAAGTAATAAATTAGTTTTTCATATTATACAATATCACATCATAAGAGTATTTTATTACTTTCGTACTATAAAGACCAAAGTAATCTCGGATCATATTTAAATTTAAATAAAAATGTTCTTACATTTTGAACCGTAGATAGCCATATTGCGTAAGTATACATGGAAATCTTCAGGAATATCCTTCGCGCCTGGTGCATTATAATTCTATGAAAATATTCATGTACACTTTAGAGTTAATTTAATTATATAATTTTTAGATAATCTCAGTGAATTGAAGTAGTAGAGTTCTGGTGATATATTGCGTATATCGAAATTTAATAAACTTAACATACCCATGATTTGTTATTCATTAATATTCCTGTTTTAGGATCGTACACCAGATCTTCAGAAGTCCAGAATCCTATTCCCATCACGAAAGCTCCCTCCGCCTGACCGACATCAATTAGTGGATTCAAGCTTAGACCAGTATCAATCATCAAATAAACTCTTCTAATTACATGCTGACCGGTCAGCACATCGATTTCTACTTCGGCAATGGTAACACCGTAAACAGAGTAAGATTTCTTATCTTCCGTTAGTCCAGTAACCAGCCTACAGAAACATATATACATATATATATATATATATATATATATATATATATATATATATATGTATAAAAATGGTATGTAATGTGTAATATTTATTAATTTTGTTGTGCGTTATCTCTCTCTCTCTCTCTCTCTCTCTCTCTCTCTCTCTCTCTCTCTCTCTC